CGGTAAATGGGTATTTGAAGGTTAGTGCGAAAAATAAATAAGGGAAAGAACAACTTGACGGACGAATACGCATCGGGAAACCATCAAAAAGAGTTAGTTTATATGCATAATGGTAGCGTTGGAAATGTACCTTATGCTAACAAAAAACTTTGTTCATTGTACCGATTAGTGTAGCTACACGCAAATTGTATCTCCGTCACTTAATATTCATTCCGTCACGTTACTTCCATCATGCTCTATATTGCGATAGATATTTGTTAGAAATTGTCGGTCTTCTTACTGAGAATAAAGCAGCTCTTAATATAATATCGCTATATAATCCTGTCATTATAACATGATGAAATTGTTATGGTAACGCGTACGGGGTTAAGTTTTTTATTACGTATTACGAGACTATATCTGTATTGACGAGTTTGTGCAGAGGTGGTTATTGCTATCGGCACGAGATACCGTTGTAGTAACTGTTGCTGCGTGTAACTGGAAACGTTATTCTTCTAATGGATAGAATTTTGTATCTGATTGTTAACGTGAGAGAACACAATAGATAGAATAAATAACAGTATCAAGCGGAAAATATGATGGATAATAAGGACATGAGTTGCGCCCAACTTTCCATTACAAGTAAGCTTTTGACAGCCATAAGTCACAAGCCATAGCCCCCCCCCCCCCCCCAGAATGCCGTCTACCAGCCACAGGAGAATGTCAATGAGTTTTATTACGCTTAGTATTAATTATAAATTTTGACATATCCAAAAGAGGTAAGACCACAACTACGAGACCACTAAAATTACCAGCATTGTAGAAGCAACAAAATAGTCATATTTAATATAGCCTGAGGCTTTCAAACTCTTCATCACGACGATTGGTAGCCAACAACGTGTGATTTGACCCTGAAATTAACAAAAACATCCTACTTAGTACCTTATGTATGGTTTTGCATGAACACGTACGTATCCATAGTTACCGCCGATTGTTTCTCTGCAATCCGGACATCTGCTTGTTTGCATCGCACGTCCGCATCCGTCAATTGTATATGTATGTCCATTGGGACAAGTATACCTGTATCAAGTAATACGTTGAATAACCGCGCTACTTACAAGCATACGAAAGTTCAATATCATCACTTACCAATGACCTCCTCCGATAAACTCTTCGTTCATTGCTTGAAATATCTCTATCTTTTCCTTTTTCGTTAGTACTCCCCCTCTGGCCAAATTCGTAACTTGTTCAATTTCTTTTACTATATTTTCCATTCTATTCTCACATTGGGTTTGGAAATGGTCGGCCTGAAGTTGGGGAAATATTTCGTTGATTAGAACTGTGAATTGATCAACGATTTCTTTACATTGTGCGATGGTATTCTTTCTCTCTTGCTCAACGACGTCGTCCGACATCTTCTTGTGTTGGAGGGTATATCGGTAGAAACGGCATCTTGCTTCGGCCAGTTCGATAGTAGCCGTCACGTATTGGCGATAGTATTTGGTTTCCTTGGATACTCTGATAATAGAATTCAGGTGGTATATCATTGATTCAAGAATAAAGAGACCAAATTTAATCCAACAATATCGAGTATCACCAGTCAATTCATCAGTTAATGACTGAACTACGTGATCGGCTTCTTGAAACAAGATCTTCTGAACATTGACTATAACAAGGAATATCTCCAAATAGCATTTGCGATCTATCACTGGAAATACCATTCCTACTCCATGAAACGATTCACGTTGTAGGGAAAGTATCATATTATCGGAATCGCCGTCTGAGATGTTCAGTTTGTCAGTCGCTTGAATAATACAATCCATTTCATTTACCCTGGATCTAAACAGATGTGATACTGCCGCTCCGAAAGTTGCCTTCCATGGAGGAGTCTTAGTCTCGGCCAGCAGGATTGACAGATCACTATATATCCGAATCAGGTCAATATTATGTATAATCCAGTAATTAGTATGACTGCGCGGTATTTCATAAATCTTGCGAAGTTTAACAAATTCATCCAAGTGAGTGAGCTCTTGAACTTCTAAATTTTTTGGAGGCTTAGGTAATTCAGGGCACTTTTCATCGTGTTTGGCGCGAAACAATTGCTCAAATTTCTTGAGAAAGTGGTTTCGTTTTTTGTCAAGCGCGTCGACGGCTTTTCGAACCTTTTCAGTATACGATCGTAACAAGTTTGTATACTTTAACAAAAATTTCTTGCTCTGCATGTCCAATATCGCCTTCTTAATCGGCCTCCCATATCTTCTAATATTCGTAATTGGATGCCGACACATTGGACATCTTTGAATACTTCCTAGTTCATTAGGAAGTGTACAAATCTTAATCCAAATCTTTTCAAAAGCTGCCTCTCCGTCGATACCATCATAATATTTACTCATTCCTAACTGTTTGTCTAGATAAGCCATTGTAAATGCATGGTTACATTCCAGAACAATCATTCTGTTAAGATTCCAATCAACTTGGTCAAACTCATCCAACATAGCCATATCTGACATTTGTCTCTGAATATGGGGTGGGGCACAAATGGGACAAAATTCGACGGGGACACACTCTTCTCCACATACACCAGGACATTGATGTTTGCAGGGCAACAGTTTCTCGCATCGCTTGTTACACGGCAAACGAATGCAAGGAGACCCGCAACTTAACAAACACTTTTTCTGATGGTCGCATTGCCAGTCGCATGGCTCTGCACAGACATTACACGGTTCAGAGCACTTTTTACTGCATGCAGAGTGTTTGCATTTAATCACACATTTGTTAGGGCATGGCGGACATAGTTTTCCGTCGTGGCATTTGCTTTCGCATCGATGTTCGCAGTATAAATTGCGATCGCATATCAGCGTGCATGGCGCGTGATTAGACCTTATCACATGCCCTTCTGCATCCAATAGAGCCTCTCCCGTAGGTGACGCACGAATAGACATGCGTTGACAATAGTCACAATTGGACAGGCAAAGATGACCACAAGGTAACAGGATTCCGCACTTTTGCTTACATATAATATCTTTTGGCGCTTCAAAACAATGCCTCTTTTGCTCGTGACCACATCGGGGAAGAATACAATCAACAAGCTCTGTACAATTGATTGCTGTTGGATCACGCGCTCGGTAACATGGAGCCTTGCTTTTTACATGTCCGCATGGTAATCCGACATTGTTTATCATTATTTCACAATTTCCACATTTATCCCCACATAGGTTGGGACAAGTATGTTGACACGGCTCATGTAATCTCTGGCACGGTTTCCCACACTTGATACCAACATGATCCGGATCATCAGAGTGGCACTTGTATTGGCATACGTGACCGCACTGTAACGTAAACCCACATGGCTCTTGGCATCCGCCATCGGGAGCAAATTCTGAAAACTGTTCAGGTCTCTCGACAAACTTGAGTGTATCGGGATGCCGATTGCATCGTAATGGGAAAGCATTGCCTAGTTGTTCCTTTTCCCTGAGTATGTCGATTACGGTGGGCCACATTGTTGTATTATCCCGCCGCGCCCTCTCAGCCAGGAGATCGGCATTTCCCAGTAGAAACATTCCGTGTTTAGCACGGGATAATAATACATTCGTACGGTTTTCAGATTTCAAAAAGCCTATCGTACCACTGCCATTGGCATGATTCACATTTCTGACAAGTGATATAATAACTATCGTCGCTTCTTCACCTTGAAAGTTGTCAATGGTACGTAATGTTACTTGCTGAGTTAGCAAATTCCTTGACACCATGGGAATTGGCGCAGATGATGATGCATCCTCTTTGCCTTCGTTGTCCTCAGTCATCCTAGTTATTTGCTCACCATCTCTTTCATCAATGATGACTACGAATTGTTTGCTTAATGCATCTCGTATTTGAATCATCTGACCCAAATATGGCGTTAATACAGCAATGTCACCGCTTTTATCGTAGCCATTTCGAACAAAATATTTTACCATCGCTACCACCATCTTTACCTCAAATGAGTTCGAGTGTGATTGTACAAATAGATTGCTGCCAGCAGCATCTTCTGGATTTTTGTGATCGAAGAAAAATAAGTTGTGGGTGGTTCCACGTACACGGGGGTATGCTGCTGTACATTCATGATCTATAAGATCGGGATACAGAGTCTTTCTAACTAGATCGGCTATTTCGCTGCGCATTCGCCGTTGCGTCAGTAGTTGGACCATTGGTTTTTCGTCATTGACCAGACGCTCGAACATGGACCGATCAAGCGCAAACTTTTTGCCGACATTGGAGTCTAGACTGAGTTCATATGTTGTAACATGCGGTCTTAGCTGCAAATGGTCTCCTATAAGAATCAGATGTTGCGTTTCTTTCAAAGGGGCAAGAATGTGAGCCTCTAAAACTTCGCCCGCTTCTTCGCATACAATAATACGTGGAGCTACTGAACGTATTAATGATTGAAATTTAGCAGCCCCATTGGTCGTCATACCAATAACATGAGCTGTTGACAGTATTTTTTTACGAACTCCGTCATGAATGTCTGGAATAAGAAAGGACGTTAGAGCTTTGACAACATCCGGCGCATGAAATAAAGGTACATCTCATGTCTTACCGTTAATTTCCTTTCTTTTTCCAGCGAGTGTTTTTTCTAAATCGGCCAACCGTTGTACAACGTCTTTATGAATAAGTTCCTTCCAATGATTATGCAATTTAGTTCTCTCATTCATACTCATTTTCCATACATTCTGCTCTTGGAGCAAAATCTCTAATGGTCTATCCGATTCAGGGATTTCCAAATCCTGCTGTTCCCATACTCGAATACCGTCATCTTCTATTCTTTCTACCGATACAAGATTGGTTGCATCTTCTTCATAAAATAATTTCGTTTCCTGATCTTGCATCCCTTCCTGATCTTGCATCCCTTCCATCTGACCCTGCAAGAACTCATACTGGTTGTGGGTTGATAAAAGTTGCGGTTCCCTTTGTTTCTGTTTCCCCTTTTCCTTGTTCCGTAAGCTATTCTTAATTTGCTCGAGATCTGAACCATGAAGCCATTGAGAAAATCGATCCTCATGGCGCTTCCTGTTATTGACAACTTCTTCCCATTCGTCGTCGGAATCCGCATCTTGTTCATTATCCGTATCCGCATGCTTCTCACACAGTTGTTCATAAATCGAAGGATAGTTTATTAAAAGAAATAATGATACAGCCTATCAAATAATGTGTTAGTTAGACTCGAATGTAATGCACGTCCAGTACGTAAACAACAGTCGTATACAAAAGAAATACTTGCATCCCACGTTATTGCCTTTTGGGACAATTGCCCCGCCAACCTTCCCGCTTCGGTGGACAAACGGTCTAATTCCTTGTAGGCTTTGGCTAACATGCGGCTTTATGAAAGTAAAATGAATGATGTGAAATGAATTTAATAATAATATATTCCTATAGCTAACCTCTGTTCAGCCGTCTTTCTTCGATTGCGACATTGTTCCTCCAGACTAAACGGTTTGATCTCTTCTGACTTTGATTGGCCTCCTAAACGAACAATCTGTTTTATGCCGGCATGCAAGAGATGTTCAAGGAACTGATCCAGCGCATGATTGGTAAAGCCTGTCACGATATAAAAAACTCAATAAGGAGAAAAGAATAGATTAAACACTGAAAAATAGTACTTACAAATAATCAGCACTGGTCCAATAGCCGCCCTTTTCCGATTTGCGCTATTCAATAACACTTTCATCAACTTTACCCCAACATATGTCTTCGTTAACCAATGCAATGCACGTTAATAAAATAAAATATTAGAATAAAAATCATGAACGATCCTAAAGTACGAAATGTCCATCCAACCTTTCCGGTGCCAGGTGGACCTAAAAACCACGGAAACCCATGCAGATCAACAACAATTTTATCAATAATTGATTTTATCAGTTAGATGTTTGCTAATACTCTACCTTCGATTAATGCAATTTCTCTGCACAAGGAGCGAACTAATGCTTCAGCTTGACTTTTATCTAGTACATCTGCTTCAATTATACTTTTTATAGCTCGGTCCTGCGAGAGCTCGTCCGTCGGATCTAGCATACAATGTTTATTCCTGCCAAGCAAAACTGACAGATCAAATTTAAAACCCGGCGCACGTGCATATAATGGCGGCTCGAATCCAGCCGATAGATCTTCTTTCGTAACTGGTGCAAGATGTCGAGAAAATGGCAGTGCCCCTGGATTGAAGTCTTGGAGAGCTTTTAATATGTGTACATACGCTTCGAAATAAACACCCGTGGATTCTACCATAAACCTATCGGGCGTTTTAGAACTCGCGTCTGGCGTACAATTTATATCTTCCAAAACAATTGGATAGATTGAAGTATCCATAAAAGTAACACCGATTGTAGCTTCATACTCATTTGCTAGTGAGTTTGGCTGTCTATCAGTAATAACTAGTATATGGGTGAGACCAGAAAAGAGAATTAATTGATCCACACACACTAACGGACAAGATATTCGTTATATTGGCTTGACATGCTCACCTCCAAAATAAAGAGTGTAACCATTCGTCGAGTTTCTGATACCCTTATCCCCGTCAAGCTTAGAAGCCCATAATACGCAAATCAAACTTCCGTTCAGCAACTTTTTTGATCTGTCCCAATAGTCTTTCCTTTGCTTCTTGGACTTTCCAGCAGCCTTCGGTGGTTTGAATCCCACTTGAACCAAAAATCCTTTCCGTTTGTCCACCTTAATATTTTTAAATCTGACGTTTGAATAAACATTCAAGTCTCCGTTGATTTTTCCTTTGTCATATCTGAACCTTCCACTTTTATTTATTAGGTTCGTCATTTGTTGTTCGTTTTCGATTAAACCTGCTACAAGGTTGTAAAGACCGTCACGTAACGGACGTAACATATCTTCACGTAGAAGACGAAATTGAATATCGAGCATTTTTTTCGGCCCTGCATCGAGAAAATGAGGAGCATACGGAAGACTGGATGGAAGAAAGGGACTTCGTTTGCAAAAAATTTCTGCGGGAGTTGGGATGACATCTATATCTTGAAAGTTTATTTCATCGTTATCGTGACGCTTTCCAAGCTTCGACAACTCACCTGAATAATGTAACATAAACGACAACGTGTAAATGTTTTAACACGCTGAAGCATAATAATAATAATAATAATACACTAAACAAACCATAGCTCACCAGGTGGATCATAATCGCGTTGCAATTCTATTTCCATTGCTATATTTTTTGCATCAATACATGGGCTCACGTTTGCGGAACCTGACGCTATGCTTTCTTCTCCCTTTTCTAAACTTTGCTTTCCTATATTTAAAATTCGCTTCATTTTATCCAACTCCTTATCGATAATCGTAAAGCAATATGCCGACTTGTCTGCAGCTTCATCCGATAAAATATCTCCAACTATATGGCCACTCGTTAGAAGGTCTTTCCATGCATTATTCGCTTGTTCTAAGCGTCCCCCAATAACTTGTATTGACAAGTTAAATTTGGCTTCTCGAATTCTTCCGAGTATCTCGTTTATGAATCGTACGAGTACTAAAACTATTTGCGCGCAAGTCACAGGTATAAACGCATTATTTTTTAGTAATTCTTGTTCTCCAACGCTGGTGTCTCTCAAAGATCTTCTACGAATTAACTCGTCTACACAATTTAATACTTGGTCTTGAATAAAACTGTCAACGTATGCATAGACGGCCGAATATATGCCATTAACTTGTCTTTCAAAAGTCGACTCTCTAACGCCATTTCTAATAAGCAGAGCTATAAAGGGCAGTATAACTGATTGAAAAGAGACTGATTTTTCCTTTAAACCAGCATCGACGCTAACCGACGAATTGCAAATGAGTCTTATTTTAGGTATTCCTTTATCGCTGGCCAGTTTGTTAACCACTTCTTCGGCTAATGGATTCCCTGGAGATGAAGCTATCAGACACGAACTTACAAACGACCTCATATCTGAATGATTCCACGGTTCTTCTTTCCTGAGTAGATATGGCCATAGCGTTTCAGTTATCGGAAACCCGGGAGAAAAAAACACGAGGGTATCGCTTCCCCCCTTGGCAAGAGCAGGCGATTGTAAGTTTTCAAGCAGTTGAAGCTGATAATTTTTGAAGCCTTCAGCTTTCACCAGTTGACGTCTGAAACGTTCGTCTCTTGTAAGCGGTTGCTTTGGTGGTCGGGACGATTTTGACATCCGTGAACGTTGTTCCATATGCAGTTACTTGAACAACGATTTTCTAAAGTGGTATAGACGTTGCTTTTTATTCTGACGACTATAAAATTTTGGTTTGGTCAAAATACGTTATAAAAATACAGTATATTATATTTGCTTTTGCAAACGAACAAAGGTAACGAAGGAAGCCGTTGCCAATTATTCCCATGACTTTATCTTGCAGATATGGCTATTTTGTCATTGTTATCAAAAAAAGACAAGTGTGCGACATAAACACCTGATCAGAAGTTTCGCTTGTTTATCAGGTATTCTTAACAAAATAGATGTACTCTTTACAACCATGTGATACAAATCAATAAACGATAATAATCATAATAATAATAATAATAATACCGTGTTTTAATTGTTAAAGTATTAACACGTGTACATTTGACGAGTGAGGCTAATGCATATCGTAAAAAAATTGCTATTGGTAACGTTGAAAATGGAAAAGGCGTATGTCAAAAAGGAAAACTAATATTATGATTTAACCAAATTAACTGATATGCATGAAAACAATAAGTGAGCGAATATAAAATATGTGTCCTCCACTCTTACAAATGATCGAATGTCAGTAAACATGCATGTCTATTTGCTATTAATATTATTGTTTACGTGCGCAACAATATCTTGGTTAACAAGCAGTGAAGACTATTCAAGCTACGCTGTGCTCTGTCTAGCCTTAATGCCTCCTGGCAAGCCACTTTTTCGGTTCTTTACAGTTTACCATTCTCACTAATCACAACACTAACAACACTCGTGATTTTTAGTCTATCAACTAATCGTCATACACTAGCCGTTTGAGCGTGGGATCAATGGGTACAAGTATAACCGTCACGTATCATCGCAGAAAATACTTGCTAACAAGTCTTTGCTCTTAACCCAGTCGGTATTGGTGCTGTGCACAGCTCACGAGTATTTTAAACCGTTTCAAATTTTTAACACTAAAGGAACGCTAATAAATAGACGCTACCGATTGCCTCGTCTAGTATTTATTTCGTGTCGTTCGAGGTAAAAACGTGACTGAAGATTTAGCCCCTATACGAATTGGCTTATAATGCATAAGAATGTGGTGGCCATTGAACTCAAGTGTATTATATCTTGTTTTTCATCCATAAACGCAATTGTGAATTGGAATACTACCATCGCCGTATTGTAGCAAAGTAAAAAAGATATCCTTTATTTTGGTAATGGTGCTGACTCTAAACTAATTACTAATCTCTCATAATGCCAGGCAGACGGTTGATATGTGATGAACCTTTCGCGTAAATATCTAACATTCTTGAAACCGCCTATGTGTTTGCAAAAACTTGTCTATCAGACAACGTCCATTATCAACGACGACGTTTAAAAAAATCATCCTCATCGTTCCATCTCAAAGCATGTCTCGGCAAAAATCATCTTTTCGCTAAGGTTGGATGGATTTATTGCATTACAGACATGACAAACGTCCCGACGATAAGAATTAAAGACTGCAAATAATTTATACAAAGAAAATTTGTTTCATGCATCCACAATGTTCCCACCAATGGAACTTTTAAACTAAATTGATAAGCCATCTCGCATTATATCTATCTAACTGGACCCGACCATTAACAACACCATATACAATTCTTCATGTTATTTTTACTCGGATTATATTATTGTAAACGCCAGAACTTTCTAGGTTAGATCAAATATAATAAGGCAATTAGTAAAGCTAATAGTGCTAATAAAGAAAATCTAAATGTTGCCTTCAACCGACTTACGTTAATTTCTTGGTTCCTCTACCATTCGTCGGAGACTCGGCTGTTGGACTTCTGAGAGTCGAGCTGTTAACATGCCTACCAGGAAAAAAAATTTGTTGACAAAATTAATACACCTGATCGAATGTAAATGAAAGAGAGTGAAATATAGTTGATGTATATTAACACATACCGTTCTGACTTTTTGCAAACAGTAAATACTTCATAGTCTTCAATAGTTCCCTTTACATTATCAAATATCGATGGGTATGATTTCGAAATTGATGCCCAAGTCTTGTCATTATTGATTGCAAAATCGGGACCGCTTCCAAACGTTGGTCCCTTCGTCGCTTCACAACAAATGGCCTCAGTGCCTGGATTGATGACACGTGATATGGTTGCGGAATCGAGGTCCTTATCCTTGTCCAGCATAAATAAAAAGCTAGTACGCGATTGTTGGAAACCATACAATCCCCAATCCAAAGGGTTATATCCGCCAATTAACATCGACGATTTTGCCAGTTTCACTACGAGAATGCTAGGTCCCTTGTTGTCGCAGCGTCGGTGAAATGTAGTGTGATTGAACCCATCACGGCTAGCCCTAAATATGACTTTAAAGTCATATGGATTCTTCTGCAACTTGTAGCTGGCATCCTTACTTTTACAATCTGCGAAATATTGCAAGTCAGCCAGGATTATTGTCGTCACAACGTTAACAAAACATTATTCATCTCACCTATCCAGGTTGCCAGTAGAGCAACTATATTGGATGTAATTGTAGTGGAATCAAAGAATGGAACTCTCGGCTGCAGAACTGTCGATTCAATATGACATTCAGAGTCCAAATGGTAACTCAAGATGTCTTCATAAAGCGCTTCAGGTAGAATCTTCTTGTAAGGTCGTACTTTGCGCGAGAAATCAGCGGGTGGAATCTGGAACCATCGTACTAATGGAATCAATTGATGAACGGTTGCTTCCAATATGGCGTAATCTCCGGAAGTCCACTTTGAGATATCAGAGGTGAGCTGACTATTTTGTGCGATGCCCCATTTCATTAAATGCTCATATACGTCAATCTCATCCATAGCTAGATCATCTCGTGTGAGCAATAGAATCAACATTGATTCATCAATTGAAAGAAAGTTCTCGGAATTAAAAATAAGTTCTGGTGTCTGACAGATAGCTTGGAGACAGTAATCACGTAATGACTTGCAAGCAGGATGCTGAAAGACAAGATCGAGTATCTGGACCGGATCTTCCTGGAGCCATTGTGTTTTCTCTTCAATTAAAAAGTTTTGAATGTAATTAATTAAGCGATTAAGATCCAGCTCTTCAGCCGCCACAAGAATCTTTAAGATTGATGGGCCATCTTGACCGTCAAGATCAATTGCGCCTGTGTAGATATATCTAGAGTAAAGGGGAAAAATGTTAGATACATATATCATTTTGAACGTTACGGGGGATCGGGGATATAAAAACCAAGCCATAAATTGAAGTGTGCATGGATCGCAATAGACTTCAATCAACAAAATAACAAATAATCGCTAATTTCCTACCTGAGTATCAATTCAAAAACTGCGGGCGCAATAGTTTGTTTAATTATAACAGAATTCTTTCCATCGGTACTGGATCGTTCATTTGACAAAAGCGCTTTAAAATGTGGGCAACGTATACGTAAAATCAACGAATGTGCCTTCAACTCTTTCATATCCGGCTCCTCCCCGGCGAATATGGTGACATCACAACTTTCTTTGCTGTCAAGCAATTGACTGAAGTCATTAGATAAGTCATTAAGTAAATCACTCGGCTTTGCGCACATTAGGTAATAGATGAATATAAGGATAGAGACAAAACGTATAGCGTAGCGTTTATGGAAAGGGTAATATTTCTTTTAGGCAGTTCTTATACCAATCAGCGATATTAGTGGTGCACCCCACCCTTGTCGGTGCATATTGTCAATCGTGGTGCAAACCTTTTTGCTGGGCACTGATATTATGCTCGTATCGTAACACAATGTGTAGTAATACATCAGCTTAAACTCGTGACGTATGATTTCCCGTTTAAAAACAGTACAACTCCGAAACAATGTCAACTAATTAAAGCAAATTTTTATTTATATTTTAATTTGTGACTGTGAGACATTAACATTAACATTATTCCTACATTAACATGGGTTCCAACAAGGCTTAGACAGTAAACCAAGACCGCTGACATACGCCGTATGGAGGACACGTATCTGCATATGCAGATTTTATCAATATAATTATTAGCCAATAAACCAACAGTACGACCGTTAGGTATTCTGTGTTATGTACATTGAAACAAAACACTATTTTATAGGTGGGTTTCACACTTATTGAGAACTGATTAATTTTTGAAGAGTAACAAAAAAACATGACAGATCGTCTGTTAAGCGCTAGCGTGTACCAACCCAAATCTATCGACTTTTGCTGGTCTAGTAATATAATAATAAAAAATAATTAAATCATTAATCGTCAATTGTTCACTATAATTATGGCTTGTAGTTGGTTGGTTAGCGTCTCTGTTTCGCTTACAGGCTAGTATTCTATGTGAGAAACGATACTTTAAATAGCGCGCATTACATAGATAGGAAGATATAACACTTTGTGCTTTCAACATTTATTACGCATACTTATACGGCAAAATTAAAGATTAACCCATTTGTCAAATTGAATCGAAATGACTTTTTTGAAAGAATAGTCTTATCGAGGGTGGATACAATAGTATATGAAAATAAATGGATAAGAGAAAAATTATCGTCTTGTATCGATATAGACGGTTGTAAACTTAATGAGGTTGTGAAGACATCACCGGATATAAATAGACTTTCTGTGAATTATCCTTCAGAAGAATTATTTCGACATGAATAAGAGAGTAGCATGTGACTGTCAAATGGGCTAACCGTATATACTAATGCCGATTTCACAGTATTACATTAACAGATTTTATCGCAAGGTTCGTACCATACGAAGAAATATTACCAAAGAGTTACGATTAAATATACTTCGATACCATTTGATGAAAACAAATGTATATTTTCATGGACCTCATATAAAGACAAAAGACACAAGTTGGAGATAAAACTTTTTATAATAAGAACTAAAAATCATAAACTATTAAAGACGTTGTTGTGAATTTTGCCAGTTGAAAGCCATTGTACGAATTGCGACCTGTAACGTACAATTTACAACGGACGATTAAAAGCTTTATTCACTGTCGGTTATTCACATTGTGGTATGTTGCATTAATACTAATCTTTTTGATGGGAAAAATTATGACTAATTAGTCACAGTTGATATCGCCAAAAATAAGAGATACTCTTGTCTTTCTGTTTAGTGTAAGAAATATACAACACGTCAAATGTATCTGTAATATTTTTGCATAAAAAATATGTGAAGCAACATCTTATTCGGTGTGTGTCTTTTTCAGCTTGACCAAGAAAAAAGGCTTGTGCAGTATTCGTTACGATGTTACTCGGCGTGAATTACCTTGTGTCAATAAAGAAAGTATAAAGTTTATATCAATGCACTATCATAATGAAATATTATAAAGCAAATATTATGCTTAATCATTGAACACAATGACAACAAAGTTTGTAACGGGGGTTGAAATACAATGATCAAGTACCAATTGAACGTTTTTACTGTAGTACAATTCAAAATACAGTGGATTTATTAAGAAGGCAGATTCACACGTAGCATGTTGTGAACGTTAACACATACATTTTTTCTTTACCCACTTTAGTGTTTTTTGCTATTATGACTGTTGGCATAGTTATAATACACTTTGAAGGCACAGTTTTCTTCGCCACATTAGGTTTAAATTTTTGTGGATTATATTAATATGGCGTTGTTCTTTACTTTTTATATGGATGGCAGCATCGAGCATCGTCGCTCGCGTACATGATGACATGATCGCTTTAGGCGTTGTAGAATCTGTTATTTGTGCGCTATTACTATCGCCATATCGTTATTGCCATTGCTGTCGCTGTTACTATGCACACAACAAAACCGCCGTAATTACAGAAATGGCAAAAAGCTAAATCCAATCAATACTTGAATAAGCCTTTGTATCAAGATATATTAGTAATAGTCTGTCAACAGATCATCATCGGTTAATGTTAATGTGGGAACAGCTATTATGTCTTTTCTGGAGATCAGGAAAAGTTATTCATTATAAATTTATTAATACTTAGAGATCTGTTTTAATTCGGAATATAATAAGTAGAATTATCACCACCATTCTAGAGTCAGTTACAGCACAAATGCTTCTCTTGTAGTTGTTGTGAGTATTCTGTAAAGCTTGTCACAGATATCACGTGTAAAATTTATAAATTTGTAAATTCATTATTGCGATTAATATTAATTGTGTTGATTGATACTAATAATAGTAATAATAACCTCATTCGCTTAACATCCAGAACGCTATAAAACATATGACTAATAAAAACAAGCGGATATTTATGGGAATTCAGCCAGAGAATGTTGGACATTTTTGCTACATATTAAATATTTTTATCGAAACATTTTGCAATATTTCCTCTGCCACAATAAAGTTTTCCTTTTCTGCTGAACACAAAATGTCACAAACTGACGCAAAAAGTATCAAAATTCTTATTTAGTGAATGACGTCACTCGATCTCCACACAAACCCAAAGTTTTCAGTCTCTTTTTCTATCATTTTCTTCCAACTTACAAACATATGCCAGTAAACAATAGCAACGTAGTCAAACCAATGAGTAACACAGGTCGCTTTGGTCCTCAACCCGGAGGAGGGATACTAACACGAACCACTTTGCCCGGTGAGTAAATCGCTCGTCCCAAAATACTCTCTGCTTTACTTTTGGACTGTTTATAGTAGAAAAACACACTGCCCAATCAATCTACTCAGTCCACCTTGACCTACTCGGCTCCTCTTTGTCCCTATACATTACATCGCTCTCAATAATTATCATATGCAAAAATAAAAAGTATTATCACTTACTCGACTTTAAACTTGCTAATAGGCGTAAATCCAGGACAACAAGTAACAAGACCGCTCACTACACCATACCCACCATCAGTAGTACTTCAACGACCAGTAGGAGGTGCAACAGCGCTGAACAGGACTAATGGACGCTTAGGTATGTCGACTCCATTATATTTAACTGTCCCCTCGCTTATACCCTTCTCCACATACACGTGTATCCATCTAAGCTACTTTATCATTACCTATGTCTTCATCCTTCAAATCCTATTCTGATCCTTCCCAAATCATGCCAATTCATTCCCAAAAACTTAATTATCCCTCCCTCTCCACCAACAATCCATTCCATGTAGGATCGAATGCTCCATCATGGAACTACACTTCACCAGCAACCACACTAAATCAATCTCTCTCACTCCGCCAGCACCAACAACCCTTCTCGCAATATCCAAACAGTCTATCGACCGATGACTTTCCCGCATTAGTTAGCTCAAACACTTCATCTACAACCCCTGCTACGCCGACGAGTACGACTGCCCCAACAATAACCGGAACATCTTCCACAAACGCCACTTCAGCACCGAATGCCATTTCTTCTTCCAGCGTGCTCAATTCGACGCCCTTCCCGTCAGCAGCGCTTCCATCAAGTACAAATATTGCACCTTCGTCCACTCTCGGTTCTACATACGCAACAACTGCAAGTACGGCACCCTCATCGAATGGTTCGAATGCCGGAATAGATGGAAGACTTAATTCTGGTCATCCTCGACAAAGCCAAGAGTTTAGCATCGATGAGTTTCCCGCTTTGCCAAATGCCGCGTCAAACAATAGGTTACAAAGCGGAGGTCATACGCAAAACGTTGATGGGTTAACCCATCATCCTAATGGACTTGCCTTGGGTGGCGTGACAGCAGTCGGTGGTGTTTCTGGGCAGGATTGGCGGTTGGGTCTTGGTAGGTTTTCTTTGAAATGGATATGGTTATAGAGAGTAGGGGGTGGTAATGGTGTAGAGAGCAATGTAAAATAATCCGAGAAATGAGAAACCATTGAACTGGATGAGAATGGAAGGAATTGAAAGGATGTTAAATGGAGGGAATGAATGTGTTACGACGCGTAGAGTTATAATAGCTGGTTGCTGTTCCAATAGCAAGGAAGGCGTGTATATATAATTTGCCATCACTAGCTTTTAACATGGAGTCTGCGCAAACAAGGAAGACATTTCAAGAAAAAAAGGGGTGTTTATTGTAATGTCTGCAGATAACTCACGCGTGGGAATTGCAATGGTTGTTCAAGCAAGGCTAGCTGATTCTTGACTATTCGATTCAATTAACTTTATGGCATATTCTCTCTACGTCTTCTCCGGTAGTTTCTATACCACTCCTTTCTTCCTTCCAATACCATTCAAGAATAACTTGCTTGTTGTATCCCAATTGAGGCTAGGTTATCTTGATAAAGTATTTATAAAAATGTTATTGTTATATTAGGCAGTGTAAGATCGACAACGCAGCCGTCTATGAATTCGGTTTCCGAGCAGGACAAAAAGGTGAGATTTGAAAAAGTAACAAATTAGTGTTACGTTTTTCCGCAAGTAACAAATTAGTGTTACATTTTCCGCAAGTTTACATGTAATTGATCGTTTTATTATTACAGGCCTATTTGTCAAAACCGCTTGTGTCGTCAGGTGTTACGATGCAAAATGCGACTTCTGTAGTATCGAATATGCAGCCGTACATTTTAGGTATGACGAAATAGCAAAATTCATTTAACATTAGGTTGGAATATCACGTTATATATCTTTCGTCTCCGTTTGCTTCCTCAGGATCAACACCGTCACAACAACAGCAACCGTCACAAATTTCCTCGTCCAACAATCCGTCATCATCTTCGCCATCTCAAAACCCGCTATCTTCGTCCCAAGCACCGTCACAAGTTCCGTCTCCGTCGCCTACTTCGCAACAGGGCCAAATGATACAGACAGCACAGACAACACAACAATCGTCTTCATTACCGCAATCCCAGTCCGTATTAAATGACAAGTATGGGCTGCTGGGTTTATTAGATGTAATAAGAATGAGTAATGAGGATCTTACAATGTTAGCTCTAGGAAACGATTTGGCAACATTAGGATTGAACCTTGATTCGTCAGAGTAAGTAAATTGGATGAAGGATGTGATGTGTTAGCAGTGTGGTACCGTATGGTACGAGTAGTGCCTCTGATTATTGACATGCTCTTTCATTCAAGTGCCCTTTATGCAACATTCACATCGCCATGGTCCGACGCATCGCTTACGCCGGGGCTAATTGAACCCGAATATCACCTACCACCTTGCTATAATGTTCAACCACCACCGCCAGCACATGAGAAGATTGCATCTTTTTCGGATGAAACATTATTTTATATCTTTTATTCCATGCCAAGAGATATATTACAGGAGTATGCGGCACAGGAATTGTAAGTTAGGACACTGGACTCTGGTAGAGGAATATGATCTATTTGTTTTGCTAGAAAAAAAAAAGAGTATAAGAGAGAAAAAAACCATATATATTGCCAATTGTCAAACTAATTGTGACTACTGTTGCCCTCTCATAAGATACAACCGAAATTGGCGGTATCATCGTGAACATCGCCTATGGCTGACAAAAGAACTGGGCACTGAACCAATAACAAAAACAGCAACATACGAAAGTGGCACGTATATCTTTTTCGACCCAACAACTTGGGAGAAAGTGAAGAAAGAGACAATTCTTATGTATGAATTACTCGAAGGACCACCTCTTCTTCCATCCATCCCATCTGCATTGTCAGCATCGTCCATGACTCAGTCTTCACTCCAGTCACTCACTCAATCATTGTCACAGTTACCGTCGATACCGTCTACACTAAGTAGTCAACAAGGAGGGGGGATACAACAAGGGCTGAGTGGAATGAACATGGCAAATTTGATGGGACTAGGGGGAATTCCAAATACGATCGGAGGGAGCGGATTAGGATTAGGTGGACCTCAGTTGCAGTTACATCATCAGTATGCGAGTGGTGGACAACACCTAGGAGGGCCATTACCTGGCCTTGCATCTGGTGGGCATTATGCGGTGCAAGGAGGAATGAAAGAATTTTGAGAGAGAGAGCGATAGAGAGGAAGATCAGATTGTTACATTTGTGACGTGAGAGTGACAGAGGAAGGGAAGGAGTAGTTGACATTGAGAAAGGGGATGTAGTTGATGGTTCGTGTTGATGTAGCATGTGATTATCATTATCATCCATCATTTTATCCGTCATAATAGCTGTTGACGTAGTAATTATTGTCTTTTTTGATCTGATGGTGATGTACTATATCTTGTATTGCAAAAGTATATATAGTATGTAAACACCCCCCTTCAATATCGTTGCATTGCGTATATAGTTTTCTCTTTTTTTATTGACTTTTTTTTTCTTCCCCTTTCCTTTTATATTTTGTTTTTGGATGGACTTTTTATCCAAATGCATATTAAATAATCGAGTGGTTCGTTGGAAGTAGAAGGATGAATAGAGGAACGAGTGTATTTCGAAAGGGGATCGAGTGAAGCTGAAGAAAATGATTGTGAGTATACATGTGGGGTTGAAGCAGTGCAGTGAAATATGTATGTGTGCGTCGAGTGTTTCAATGCGTTTACAGAAATGGATGTGATGTGCGCGGGTGTGGGAGAATGGACGAAGGAAAAGAAAAAAAAAAAAGTGAGGTGTGTGGCTGGTATGCATTACTGATGCATTTTGTTTGAATGACTATTGTTAACGTATTGTATGATTAAAGTTGAGCATTGTCATGTCGTCTTTTGTAGCAGTTGCATCATCACTAGATAATATTGATAGGGCTAGTATTGTGATATGATGACAGTTGACTGCGGACAGTAATTATAATCATAATTTGTTTGTGGTAATAGCTACGGTTATTTAATTAAAAAGTATAACGTTTCCGTCTTATTGTACTGTTATCTCATCTGTTGTATATATTTGTATTTCTCTCTCGCACGCACAACAAGTGTACAGACGTTTGTAACGGGTATTTTTTTTTTTTACTCGATTATAATTTGTGTTCACGTTCAATGATGGTATTGGTTGTTGGATTGGTGATCAATTGGGACGAGTGTGTCGATTGTTTATGCCAAGTATGGATGACAGTTGAAAGAGTTGGTATTGTCCCTTATGCTTGCGAGTATTTAAGCAGTACATGAAAAGCTAGATGTGGGAGGTTTTGCTGTTACAGACTATTCCACATCAGGTTAGCATGATCGTACACACTAAAACCATTACCCAATACACAGTCCTCCCGCAAATTAAAAATTTTAGAATAAGTTCAGACAGGAAGGGAATGTGTGCTATATAGACTGACGAACGTGTAGAACGTATAGAACATAACATGTATAATTCATTTCATTCTTCTCAGGATAATCGTAAACATACTTGGTTAGTCATCTATTTTATTAAACCATTATTAATACTAGTTTTTTTAATCTAAAAATAAAATACCGGATATTAAACGTGATTTGCTAATTACTGATATTAATATTTGTGTTGGTGTCGTTAAAACTGATTACAAAGTAATGCTTACCTTATTTGTCACAATTATATGCAATTGTAACAATGCTTCGAGGCACCAAGCGCGATGAGTGCAGGATCATTTCTCAATTCTACTCTCTTTTTTTTTCTTCCATTCTTTATCCTTTTTTCTCTTTTGTTTTCTCTGCCCTATTGCAATAACGTGATTATATACTTTTTATACATGGCATAAATTGTATATAACCGCCCCTCCACTCATTTCTATCCTTTCTTTGCTCAAAAAACGTTGACTTTACACATCGCTCGATGCGAGTATATATGCACACGTAAAAAATCCTACATACTGTACATATATATATTTATATAATATATACATATTTACTTAGATATATTAGTAAAGTAGACAGAGACACAAAAGAGAAAAACCCACTGCGTATAACAGGCTTACACTCGTTACTGAACACAACAATCATCGCTTACTCTTTTCTTTACACATTTATTACTCTTCCCCTACATCAACTTTGAAAAAGGGAGAGGAAAAGAGAGCATTACTCTCACTGTATAATAATAGCCCCATATCATTTAAACTTTATATTATTTATAATATTTATAATATCCCAACACACTTATACCACGGAATGAATGTACATCCTGAATCGACAACACCAACTCCAATCTCTACCGCACGACGTTCCTTCTCAAACGTTCTTGACAAGGCTTTCATAAAAAGATCGTCTACAAAAAGGAACAAACCAGAACAGAAAGTGGCTGAAAGAATATCAGCTAAAGAAATAATAGACAATCCAACAACGAGAAATACAACAGAAAAGACGACAAAGTTACAGTCGAAACCATCAATAAAATCCAAACTAGGGAGAAAACCACGTTCAAAATCCCAACCGGTGGCGCAAAAACCTGTTCTTTCACTAAGAACTTCACTTTCATCAATAAAACTCTCGTCGTCGTCAGCAAATTCAATAATACCCTCCAAATCTTCATCATCCCCTCCTCAATCACCCCCACCATCTTCGCCATCCTCTCCCACTGCATCGACCACAACATCACCCACGACTTCATTTTTTCCATTTTTTTCATCGCGTCCTTCTTCTCCTTCATCTAAACGTCCGACGTCTATCGCTTCCGAGACAACAGAAGATTTACAGCGACCACAATCAACCCCTCCAATATTAAACCGATCTCCATCAACACCGGCTTTACGCTCTCCCGTAAGAGTGACGTTCGGATTCGGTCGAAGGGAACTGCCAACTATACACGACACCATGAATAGCTCGTCAGATCATTCTCCACCCATGTTACCAGTCATTGCGTTTTCCTCTCTCGGGTCCGAATGGAACGCTGATGATATGATGGACAAGAAAAGTAGCGAGACGAAACAAGGTGTCGAAGAGGAACCAATAGGAGAAGAGAAAGCATTGCGAGAACAAAAAGAAGAGTTGCAGAGTAACCCAGAAGGGGAATCACTAATAGTGAGCGTGGAAGCTGTAACGGTCGGAGACGAAAGCAAAAACGAGGATCATATAATATCACCGTCTTCATCCACGACTGTAAGCAAACATCTCTCATCCACATCCACTTCTTCGTCCGTGTATTCGCTTTCATCGGCAACAGTATCCATGGCTTCGCCAACAATTTCCCCTTCCCTCCTTTCTCCTCCACTTGTATCATCGTCTTCTTCTTCCTCATCTTCTTCTTCCTACTCCTCGACCCAGTCATCACCATCAACCCCAGAACCTCACGAGCAACTTGACATAACTGCCTTTTTAGCCGCACCTCGTTTGACTCAGCGCGTGCGACTAAAATCTGGACGTGTCGTTTCGTTTTCGGAAGTAGGCGACCGTGACGGTTTCCCGGTTTTCGTATTCCTTGGAATGGGATGCGTTAGATATTTTATCGCCTTCTTCGACGACTTGGCGAGTAGTTATGGATTGAGGTTGATATGTCCGGATCGTCCTGGAGTTGGATTATCGGATGATGTCAGTGCTGAAGATCAACAGATCTTAAAGTGGCCTGGTAAGTAACCATTAAGCGAGGATGTGGGGGATAAGAAAAACGCGCTGACAACTAGACTTGCTAACCAACCATGCTCTTATTAGATGTAATCGACGAACTCTGTGACATAATAGGCATTAAGAAATTCTTTATAATGGCCCACTCGGCTGGGGCACCATACGCTCTTGCCTGTGCGTTGAAGTTACCGCACCGTCTGCAAGGGACAATCTATCTTGTTTGTCCATGGGTTTCCACTACTGTCGCAAATAACTTTAAATGGTTAAGATTCGTACCCACGTCTATAATGAAGCTCACGAATACGGCCGGAATCTCATTACAGCAACTACTATATGGGCGAAGTCCGTATGCCATGAAGCCATCGCATAGAAATTCAGGCGCTCTCGCGACACCAATGACGAGTTTGGAGAAAAAGCAGCGTTTGGGTCTTGCTATACTCAAAGCCTCATTCGCAGAGAACTTGTCAGGCGCCAACAATGATCTAGTGATGTGTTTCGAAAGGAAATATCCGTTTGGTTTTTCATACACGGATGTAAACCATCCCGTGCATGTGTTTCATGGAACAAAAGATGAGCGAATTCCAGTATCTGCCGTCAAATGGATGGAGGAGAATATGCCGGATTGTAGACTAACATTGATTGAGGGTGGAAAGCATTCACTGCTGTTGAGAGCAGAAGTAGTGGATTCCATATTCAAAAGCATTGCTGTTCAGTTGCATGTTAAGGATGAATGTAGACTTTGCAAGATTTCGTCGAAATGTTGGTTGATGGACGAGACGGAATTGGAGAGGACGGAACTGTTGGTGACGCGAGAACTTATCGGGGATCTTGGCGATAAGGATGTGGATGATTGTGAAGATGATGTTGTGAATGTAAACAATGACGAGCAAAGTAACAGTGAGGCTATATTAGTCGCTCCAGATTATAGTCTCCCTTCCCGCTTTCGTCATAAAGATAAACGTCAAGCAGTCTATATACCAGACACATCTCAGAAGTTGTCAGAATCAAAGCCTGAAACGGAAATCTTTCTCTCACCTGATAACGAAGTTCCAAAGGCAGCGGAAAAGTTGGTTTCTGTGTATAGTTATTTCTAAACGTTAAAAGTAATTAGTTGATTAATACAAGTTTGATCGCAGGTGGTCTATATAATGCGGAATTAGAAAGTATGGGACATTGGGATGGGGGAAATTGTTACTATGTCGCGTTGGTTTTGAGTTTTGTTTTGTGTATTTTTTTGTGTTTTCTTTTCTTTTCTTTTTTTTGCTTTTTTCATTGTAAAAGTATACCTGCTCTGGTGTAAATTATACTTATAATAACAAAATGCAGTAAGATCATATTATATATAATATTATTCACACATACAATTCATTTGTTTCTCGGGCATTTCTTTTATACACAATCTGTACGTTTTTTCCATGTAGACATCAAATCTTTTCCGTCAAATTCATTAAAAATTGTAATATTCACACAACGACAAGTCGATTGTAAAAGGGCAGATGATATCACGCTTGTAATAAGTATTTCGACTAATGATGTGCTTTAAGTAGTGTAGTCTAATAAACTATCTACCGCGTCGCTTTTTGAGATCCACGAAACGGGTCTCCTGAGGCCAATCATGCGAATTTGACATATTATAATCTGGAAGCAATAGAGCACTCATTTATTATCTTATACTGTTACATGGAATAATGACAATAATGTATACACTACTAATATATCATCGAGTTATCGGGAGTGCTTAGCAATGAGGAGTTCTGTCCAAGTAGATCGTTCGTAATTGTACTAAAACTCGATGAGCAGTTTCCGAGACTGTTGTTATGTATTATATTTTTAATTAGCCTTATACACGTAAGTATATTGAGTTATTATTATAACCAGATAACATGTCTTCGACGCGTTTATTTTACCATCTGATGAAAAACAAAACGTAATAGTAAACACGCTTTTCTTTTCCATGCTGTTGTTTCTGGCGAGGAAATACATAAAAGCAAATAGAGTTCTTAATTTGAGAAAGCTAAACAAGAAGAGAATTGCTTTCTCCTTGCGTTCGATACAAAAAACTGCGTTCATAATCAATTTTTTGTTCTGACATTAAATACAATTTCTAAATGTAATTAATACTATAAAATACATTAAAAATCTAATCCATAAAAGTCTTTACTCATATTAGTTCTTAATTGCTTGCTTATTTATCACTAGTATAAAACTGCGGTGCCGTGTATAGCAACTGGTTCGCATATGTGTCGGGTTGGGGATAATAAGAATCTGAATGTGAAGACCCCGAATAGACTTCAGTTATAGACGAAGGCGCAATAGGCGAACTTGTTGGATAGTATACGGTTTGGGTTGGTGCTTCCGACATTCTTTGCGTGCTAATTCCGTTTATTACATTTCCGTTCACACCACCAGACGCTTCATTTAGTCCACCCTTTTTCAAGTCAAAACGTGACAGCCAAGCACTAAGCCGACTTGGATATTCGCCCTTATCCAACCCATCTAAATATTTTGTATCGGCTATGTAGTCTTGGATAAACAGTTCCAATGCGTCTAATTTTTTTCGCAATTCTGTTGTCTCTGACTGGAATGATGACGATGACTCTGATGATGCTTTGGAAGATTGAAACGGAATGACTGGGAATGATTTACGTAGCTTTGAACGTGTTGGTCGAATAAAACAGCAGCAATAATATTGAATGCAACCCCATGGACGTATTGTGTCTCTTCCTGATGAGGGAAAAATGGTATTGAGAGCGTGCGGATGAAGAAACAAAAAAAAGATATATACATATTGAATGTTTACCTAACAGGAAAGCATACAGTCTCGCAGCTATGCTCCATATACCACCAAGCAAACCAATTGCACCGAGAACCTGCGTGAACGATAATTTATAGTATTAGTTTAAATCATGATATCATTAATTTAAACATCATGCCGTTTCATTGTCAATCTTACCGTGTTTGATCTTAAATTAATTATCAGCATCGAATATAGTATGATTAATTGTCTAATAATCACCAGAATAAACGATCGATCAAATCAATCTACCTCTTTCCTTACCTTTGCTCAATCTCAATTTTAACAACAAATTGCTGAGGCTGAAATGCCATTCGTCCATATCCAGTAAAAGAACTAGGCAATGGTCCACCCTCTATATAGAAGATGAGTATGATTGGTTGATCTAGCCATGTATACGCTTCATAAATGTCCACAAAAGTATGTCACTTACCTAATTCAGCAGTGAGGTAAGGTACACGTATTGTGCCAGATGGGAAGCCAAAAGCAGACAACGAATTTTCTTTCAACATGTATCTCTCACTTTGACTGTATCTCGCTACGTACATTTGCCCTTCATATAGGGGGTGCGCTGACATCATTGCCAGAGAGTTGACGAATTTCGAATCGGCCAATTCGAGTGATTGATCATATGAATCTTCCGTATAATCTAGTAGAAAAAAAGATCTCTAGTCACCCAAATGCACCGCTGAAATACAACCCATTAATTTCGACAAATACGGCCTTGCAATACTGATGTCCTCCCCAATCAATGCTCATAATAATTACATATGCTTGCTTCAATCCACATATATCCAGTGTAGTCGTATGTTTGACCAAGTAAAGCATAATTTAGCACGAGTGCACTTAGCCTATTTTCTTGGTTGTCCTCGAACACTATATTAGTTGGAGGAGCAAACCATCCTGTGTATGTACCAGTACTTGAGTCAAATTCAGGCGGCATAATGTAATTTATACAATTTTGTGTGTCTTGTGAATTATTGACTGCAACAAATTTAAATTAGTCGGTCATTAAAACATCCTTAGAGACAAAACAAACACAGAGTATTCTTAGTCAACTTACCATAAAAAAAACAGGTAATTTCGAAGTTGGACGGATACGTAAACATTATTGTTGGAAGTCTAAGACTACTGTCCGTTCTCGACTCTGTCTTCAGCGTCGGGGTGTCATTGGATATATTAACTAGAAGGTAAATCGTATATCCGATCAATAGGGCAATGATTATGCTCAAAATAATAGTACGACACACAACAATTGCTTTCGGTTCAGTCTTTCGACGTTTACGGAATATGTCCTCCAATCGCATGTTCACTAGTTGACACTATCTGATCCCTCTGAGCAATATCAACAGAATAAGGAATTAACCAAATACTGTTAGGTCTGCACACCGAAGTCAGATATCCTCTTTATATACTATCGTGCGATTGACTGTCGCATGCATGTTAGGTATGATACATTGCATAGGATACGGTTATTGCAGGTTTCAATTCGTAACAATAATGTTATACGGTTAGAAAAGATTGGTACAGCGTTCGTTCGACTGCCTGTTCGTAGATGTTATACAGTTGTTTCTCCAATTTATTAATAATAGCACAGTTTCACTTGCATTGCATTGCATTGCGTATAAAACAAATAAATTCCTTTTCAATGGAACAAAAGCAAGCTAAAAGCCTTATCGTTCGGACCAACTATGCAATTACTAATTACCATGTATTTATCGCTTCGAAGACTTTGAGTACTATAGCTTGTGTAGTACTTTTGCCAAGTCTATTTCGTAGAACTTTTCTTTTTTGAATACTCTTAAAATTGACAGTTTCTATGGCAGGGTCAAGTTGGTTGTAGTCGATGAAGGAAATCCTTTGTCCCGTAGTTTGGTTTGTTTGTATTCAATGAACTTTATAACAAGACTTCGTTTATTTCCGCAAACAAAGGTATCGTCCCAAGCCAATCAGAATTTGCTTTCGGAAGATAATAACATTTATCATTTTACGCAATAACTTGACTTTTTTTTTAGTTCTATAACGCCCACTAATCAGAAAAGTTTACTACTTAGCATAAAGTATATTCTCAAATGGTGTATTGTATATCTCTTCTTGGATGGATGGAGATACAGTATTGCACATCTCTACATTCACTGTTCAACGGGTAAAATGTGTGTTCATCGATGATTCATACATAGACCACTAGGGTCGAAAAAAGTGCTTCACTTTTACAGATATGGTGATATTGTACTAATACGGACAGGGGAATTGTAGTTTCGCACAGCGTAATACAAATAACTTGTCTGGTAACCCTCGATAAATTAGGTAAAAAGATTAAATCTTATTGGCGCGGCTAGATTATTTTTCCACAATCTGATTGGTGCGACAGAACACAGTGATTGTTCACGATCGTGAAGAGTACGAAATACAGTGACACCTCTATAAGTGCAACCTCCATAAGTGCAAAACCTCACTAAATGCAAGCTTTTTCTCGGTCCCAAGCATGGGACCTAGTAACTAAATGCAACCTCTATTTTCTGCAATTGCAATAGATTTGCGAGTCCCGTCTATATGGATATCTCTCTCTAAATGCAAATCACGTGGTTTATCCGTATATGCCGTGTAACAATTAACACAATGTTAGAATTACATATCATGAGTGAATTGTTTTCAGGTCGTGTTTCATTCTACAAGAATAATAAGTTTGAAATCAACAATTATATTTCCGCAACATAGTATTGTTTATAGTATATTCACTTCTTTTGTCTCAGCTCACAATAACTCTGTAAATATTGTCAGATTGTAAATTCAATGAAACAAAGCAGCTTAACGCAATTTTTAGCTAATAATAATTAATAAACAACATTTAAGGTAAATTGAAAATCTTTCCTTTAAAGAAAACTTCTATTAATGCAAAATCTCCATAAATGCAAACTAATGTTCGGTCCCAAGGGCTTGCACTTATAGAGGTGTCACTGTATATTGTCAAAACCAACGGAAAACAGTGACGTAATTCTCCGTTCTGAAAATTTGTGACGCAACAAACGTAACAAAAATAAGTCCATATAATGAGAAAACACGAAACAAGTTGTAGTGCACAACGCGAATAGTTATAAACGAGTAGCTTAAAACAGTATCTTCAAGCCTATCTTCAATAGAAACTTCTGATTGTACCAATTATTCCTTGTTTAGAATAGTACCTTTACATTTAATAAAAAGATACTTATATATTTAGTTCGTTATTAGTACTTCCCACTAAAGAACAACACATAAAACAAATGAAGTAAAAGAGTCTTTATTGCTTCAATAGAAAAAGCTATAAAAGTCGAGAATTACTTTTCCCCGTACAAAAAACCTACGTTTATAATTAATTATTTGTTTGGACCCATTACAAATATAATTTCCAAATATAATTAATATTAATACTATAAACACATTTAAAGATCCAACTCATAAAAGTCCTACCAATTTAGTTTTCTTCTTTGTTTACATTAATTGCTTGCTTGCTTATTATCTTTCTTGATCAGTATAAAATTGCGTTGTTGTGTAAAGTAACTGGCTTGATCGAGTGTCATTGTCGTCTGCATATCCTTCTTGAACTGGTTGTGATTGATCCTGGAAAGCTTGTCTCACCGGTAAGCCAGACGCATACGTGTCGGGTTGCGAAGAATAATAAGAATCTGGACGTAAAGATTCCGAATAGACTTCAGCTATAGACGAAGGTGGAATAGGCAAACTTTTTGAATAGTATTCGAATTGGGTTGGTGTTTCCGACATTCTTTGCGTACTAATTCCGTTTATTACATTTCCGTTCACACCACCAGACGCTTTATTTAGTCTGTTCTTTTTCAACTCAAAACGTGACAGCCAAGCACTAACTCGACCTGGACATTCGCTCTTATCCAACCCATTTAAATATTCTGTATCAACTATGTATTCTTGGATAAACAGTTCCAATGCTTCTACTCTTTTTTGCCAGTCTGTTGTCTCTTCTGACTGGAATGTTGACTCTGCCTCTGGTGATTCTTTGGAGGATTGAAACGGAACGACTGGGAATGATTTATATAGCTTTGAACGTGTTGGTCGAATAAAACAGCAACAATAATATTGAACACAACCCCATGGACGTATTGTGTCTCTTCCTGGTGGGGGGAAAATGGTATTGAGAGCGTGCGGATAAACAGGCAAAATAAATTGAACACTAGTAATTACCTAACAAAAAGGCATACAGTCCTGCAGCTATGCTCCATATACCACCAAGCAAACCAATTGCACCGAGAACCTGCGTGAACGATAATTTATAGCATTAGTTTAACTACCATTTAGTTTATGATTTGTTCTTGCCAATTCATCGTCAAATTTAAATGAAGTATCAACAACCAAGTATAATGTGATTAATTTGTTTAATAATTACCAGAGATTAAATCAATCTATCTCTTTCCGTACCTTTGCTCAACCTCAACTTTAACAGCAAAGGTCTGAGGTTTAATTACCATTAGTCCACCGTTAAAAATATTAGGCATTGGTCCATTATCTATATTGCAAGATGAGTATGAGAGGCTAATCTAACCATGTATTACGCTTCACATGACCATAAAGCATGCCACTCACCTAACTCAGCAGTGATGTAAGGTACACGTAATGTGCCAGATTGAATGCCGAAAGCAGACAGCGAATTTTTTTTCATTATGTGTCTCTCATTTTGAGTGTATGACATTACGTATACTTGGCCGTAAAATAGGACGTATGCTGACGACACTACCAGAGAATTGTAGAATTCTGCGTCGCTGTTTTTGATTGTACGAATGAGTTGATCATATGAATTATCCGTATACTCTAGTAGAAAAAAAGAAGATCTTTAGTCACCCACACCGGAAACAATTGAAATGCACATTAATTCTGCTGTGATAGACAAATAGAGCTCACAATACTCGAATAATTACTTATGCTTGCTTCAATCATATTTAATTTGGAGTTGTTGAATGCTGGATCGATTACACCATATCCTATCCCAAGTAAAGACATTCCATGCGGTTGGTCTTGACCCTCTAACACTAAATCAGGTGAGGGATTAAACGATCCCTTGTATTTCTTAGAACTTGAGTCATAGGTAGGCTGTGAAATGTACTTTAAACAATTTTGAGCATCTGTTGCATCTAATAGTTGATAAAATTAGTCGGTCATTCAAACATTTAGAGACAGAGTGTTCTCAGTTGACTTACTATCATTATTATAACTGAATGAACATTCAAGCAAGACTTTGTAGTCAAACTCAAATATTATTGTTGGAAGTCTAAGGCTGTTGTCCGCTCTCGACTCTATTCTTAGTATCGGAACGTCATTGCATATGTTAATAATAAGATAAACCGTATATCCGATAAATAGAGCAATAATTATGATCATAGTAATATTACGACACATAACAATTGCTTTCGGTTCAGTCTTTCGACTTTTACGGAATATTTTCTCCAATCGCATATTTACTAGCTAATTCTCTGAGCAATACCGACAGAATATGGGATGAACCATATACCGTTAAGCAAAGTCAGATGTTTTCTTTTTATACTATTAGTTATGAAGTAACAATAATGTGTTATACAATTAAAAAGGATTGGGTAGTTCGTTTCGTAGATGTTATACAGATATTATTTCTCTAAATTTATTAATAATAGAACAGTACAAAAACAAAACAATTTACTTTTCAATGCTATGCAATTACTAATTACCAAGAGCTTATCGCTTCGAAGACTTTAAGTACTATAACTTGCGTTTTCATTATAGTACTTTTGCTAAGTCTATTTCGTAGAACTTTTTTTTTTAATAATCTTACGTGGTTGCGAAATTGACACTCTATGACAGGGTAAGTTGGTTGTAGTCGATGAAGGAAATCGTTTGTCCCGTTGCTTTGCTTTGTCGATGATAGTTTGGACTTTTTAGCTGTCTGTTTGTACGGGTAAATTCGCCCAACAAATTTTATAACAAGGCAAGGCTTTCATTCATTCCCAATCAGAATTTGCTTTCGTTCTATAACGCCCACTAATCAAAAAGTTTACTAATTAGCATAAAGTATATTTTTATATCAAACGGCGTATTGTATGTCTCTTCTTGGATGGTTATTCACGGAGAGATATGATAGCTTTTCCTTGTAATACAAGTAACTTATTTGGTAACTTTCGACAATTGGGTAAAAGGTTAAATATTATTGGCGCGGCTAGATCAAACAATCAGATTGGTGCGACAGGACACAAGTGAGAAGAAAGAACTAAGGACGGCCCAATAATAAATTTAGCGATTGCCTGTCGTTGATTGTTTCACATTTGTGAAGGTACCTTGATTAATTGCCGCAAAAAATTTTACAAGAAAAGTTATACATATTTATCATGTGAATCGGGAACGATCAGAGTAGAATTCTCAACGACCGCAGCATGATTGTCAGCTGATCTGCAGCACAGGAATGACACAACGGACGTAACAGAAATAAGGAGAAAACAAGAAGCAAGCCCGCATTGGGAAAATAACTTTCGAGTATGACTTACTTGTTACCAGTTTTGTCTTGTGTGATTTGTACGTTTATCTAAAAGTCTTGTCGTCAGTGCAACGCGAATAGCCATAAACAAGTAGCTTGGACGATAGCAAAACAGTATCTGCAGAGTCCCATCTTCAGTCGAATCTTGAGATTATTCCTCGCTTAGAATAGTCTTTTATATTTTAATAAAAACCTGTTAAAAGATATTTATTTATTTCGTTCATTAACATTCCTGCTAAAGAACAATACATGAAAGCAAAAAAAGTCTCAATTTCTTTAATCGAGAAAGCTATGGCAAGAAACAAAGGGTCAAGAATTACTTCTCTTTGTAAAAAAGCTACGTTTACAGCTAATTATTTATTCGGACATTAAATATAATTATCAAATAGAATTAATACTATAAAGAACAAATTCATAAAATCTTTACCCAATTAGTCTCATACGTTACATTAATTGTTTGCTTACTTATTATCTTTCTTGATTAGTATAAATTTGCGGTGCCGTGTGAAGCAACTGGCTTGATCGAATGTCATTATCGTCTGCATACCCTTCTTGAACTGGCTGCGATTGATCTTGTCTCACCGGTAAGCCAGACGCATACGTGTCGGGTTGGGAAGAATAATAAGAATCTGGACGTGAAGATTCCGAATAGACTTCAGCTATAGACGAAGGCGGAATAGGCAAACTATGGGTTTGGGTTGGCGTTTCCGACATTCTTTGCGTACTAGTTCTGCTTTTTGCATATCCGTTTCCACTGCCAGACGCTTTATTTAGTCTGTTCTTTTTCAACTCAAAACGTGACAGCCAAGCACTTACTCGACCTGGACATTCGCCCTTATCCAACCCATCTAAATATCCTGTATCGACCATAAATTCTTGGATAAACAGTTCCAATGCTTCTAATCTTTTTTGCAATTCTGTTGTATCTTCTGATTGGAATGATGACTCTGACTCTGATGATTCTTTGGAAGATTGAAACGGAATGACTGGGAATGATTTATATAGCTTTGAACGTGTTGGTCGAATGAAACAGCAACAATAAGACTGAACACAACCCCATGGTCGTATTGTTTCCTTTCCTGGTGAGGGTATAATGAGAATTAAGAGCGTGCGGATAAGCAAGCAAAGAAAGTGACGTACTCGTTAGTAGGTACCTAATAGGAAGACATACAGTCCCGCAGCTATGCTCCATATACCACCAAGCAAACCGAATGCACCGAGAACCTACGTAAACGGTAATCATAATAACATTAGTTTAGACATTAATTGCTTTATGATTTGTGCTTGTAACTCATTGTCAAACTTAATCTTACCGTGTTTGATCTTGAATTATCCGCATCAGTGTAATACAATTAATTAGTCCAATAATCATTAGACAAACCATCGATCAAGTCAATCTGTCTCTTTCCTTACCTTTGTTCAACCTCAACCTTAACAACAAAGGTCTGAGGTTTAAATATCGCGAATCCATATCCAATAATAGAATCAGGCAGTGGTCCACCCTCTATATAGCAAGACGAGCATGAGAGGTTTATAGGCTTCACAGTCATCTGATTATCTACAAGTCACTTACCTAACTCTGCACTGATGTAAGGTACACGTAGTGTGCCAGTCGGGATGCCAAAAGCAGATAGCAAATTTTTTTTCATTATGTGTCTCTCACTTTGAGTGTATGACACTGTGTATGCTTGCTTGTAATATAGAGAATGTACTGACCCCACTGACAAAGAGTTGAAGAATTCTGGGTCGCTCTTTTCGACTTTACGAAGGAGTTGAGTATATGAATCGTCCGTATATTCTAGTGGAAAAGATATTAGATATCTTGTTACCGTAATGCACCAGCACAATTGAATTACACAACGTAAGACTCATTAATTTCGTTGTGGGACGAACAAATACAGCTTTGCAATTATGTTTCCCAAGAAATGCTCTTGATAATTACTTATAATTATTTCAATCATACTGAAGTCGTTGTAGTTGAATCCTCGATCAGTTACAGTAAACATTAACGCAGCTCCAAGTATCCCATTTGGATGGTCTTGACCCTCTACCATTAAATTAGGTGGAGGATCAAACGATCCCTTGTACGATTGAGTAGTCTGATTAAAGGTAGGTTGTGTGATATAAGCGGAGCAATCTGGTGCGTTTGATGAATCTAGTGATTGATAAAATTAGTCGGCATTCAAGTATTTAAAGACAAAACGAATTAGTCAACTTACTATAAGAGGCGAGTGTACAGTCAACAGTGTATCGATAGTCAAAGCCAAATTTTACTGTTGGAAGTCTAAGAACGCTGTCCGTTCTCGACTCTGTCTTCAGTATCGGAATGTCATTGCATATATTAATTATGAGATAAGCCGTATATCCGATCAATAAAGCAATAATTACAAGTAGAATTAATTTACGACAAATAACAATTGCTTTCGGCTCAGTCTTTCGACTTTTACGGAATATTTCTTCCAACCGCATATTTATTGTCTGATCCCTCTGAGCAATATCAACAGAATAAGGAATTAACCAAATACTGTTAAGTCTGCACACCAAAGTCAGATATCCTCTTTATATACTATCGTGCGATTGACTGTCGCATGCATGTTAGATTTGATACGGTGCATAGGATACGGTTATTGCAGATTTTCAATTCGTAACAATAATGTTATACGGTTAGAAAAGATTGGTACAGCGTTCGTTCGACTACCTATTTGTGAAATGTTATACAGATATTGTTTCATCAAATTTATTAATAATAGCACAGTTTCACTTGCATTGCGTATAAAACAAATAAATTCTCCTTCCTTTTCAATGGAACAAAGAAAGCTAAAAGCCATATTATTCGGACTACTATGCAATTACTAATTACCATCTGCTTATTGCTTGAGAGACTTTAATTTTTGCGTTTTCTCATTATAGTACTTTTGCTAAGTCTATTTTGTAGAACTTTTTTTTTTTGAATAATCTTACGGGTTGGGAAACTGACAGTTTTCTATGGCAGAATCAAGTTGGTTGTAGTCGACGAAGGAAATCCTTCAATTAGAATTTGCTTTCGGACATATCCTTACAAAAGCGTAGAAAATTTCGAGCAAGCTTGAATTATTTTCACAAATGAGTAAGCCTCTTGGCACGGATATCAAACGGCGTATTGTATATCTCTTCTTGGATAGTTATTCACGGAGCGATATCTCTACATGTACGGACTTATTTGGTAACCCTCGATAAATTAAGTAAAGGTTAAATCTTAGATTAAATTTTTACACAATCTGATTGGTGCGACAGAACACAGATGTAGAGGGCGATAGCGATTGCCTGTCGTGACAATTTGATCACAATCGTGAATGTACTAAACCAAATTCGATTAATGGTTGCAAAAATTTTTACAAGAGATGTTATGTATATTTATCATGTGAATCGGGAACAGTCGGAGTAAAATTCAACGACCGTAGATATTGTCAAGAACCGACGAAAAACCGTGACGTAATTCTCCGTACCGATCTACGGTGACAGCTTCTGTAATCTTGGTGACACACAACGGACGTAACAAGAAATACGGTAAGTTCATATAATGAGAAAACAGAGAACAAGTCCGCATTGTAGTGCAACGCGAATAGTTATAAATGAGTAGCTTAAAACAGTATCTTCAACCCTATCTTTAGACGAAACTCCGATCGATCAGATCATACAGCAAATTTTACAAACATTTATCTGAACCGTTGAAAACATATGAAAACATATAAAACCATAGACGCTTATTAGGGACATAAACCATATCTCCACATGTTTTGTGATCAATTCATTTTGTATAATTTTTTTTGTTGTTTGCTAAATTTTACGTTCTGTATTTTCTTGGAATATTAGTCAAATTAGGAGAAAACTGTTACTATATTTGGCAATAAGAGTGTATGATATCAGCAAATATCACATGTCACATAATTATTGCAATATTGGTAGCAGTTACGCAGTAATTCGTTCAACAATCATTTAATGCATGATGGTAGTCTAGGAAAAAAAAAGATTACAGGATTCGGTTAGGAAGAACTCAAATTTGAGTATGGGTATAAATATATCTGAGTTAAAATATTTGATGTTTGAAACTTTGCCGTAAGCATCCAATCGATCTGAAATTTTACACATAATCAGGGTCTGTGTACACTACATGCAGGGAACTGAACGTAAAAATTCCGAATAAACTTCAGCTATAGACGAAGACGGGATAAGCAAACTATGGTATCCGGTTTGGGTTGACATTTCCGCCATTCTTTGCGTACTAATTCTGCTTTTTGCATTTCCGTTCTCACCGTCAGATGCTTTATTTAGTCTGTTCTTTTTCAAGTCAAAACGTGACAGCCAAGCACCAACTCGACCTGGACATTCGCTCTTATCCAACCCATTTAAATTTTTGGATAAAAAGTTGCGATGTTTCTAATTTTTTTTGCCATTCTGTTGTCTCCTCTGACTGGTATAATGAATCGTTCCGATTTACGGCCGATACATGTGTTTATTTACATAATCATTGAACCTAATAACGGGAATACTTACATGTCAAAAATTTTATAGCTCAAGCTATAGCACGATATTTATATATTCTCAAGAAATGTGCTTCTGGTGCATACAGTAATTACTGATCTATGAGCGAGAAATATTTTGTTATTCGGCTCTCATCCAACGTGGATCAAAACATCCGTATATTTGTCACTTTTGTATAGTCAGATAAAAGGCCCGAGGATAAATCGAAGCTCTTCATTTCGGATGCAAACTTTTGATTGTTTGTCGTCTATCTATCTGGTTCGTAACGAGCTGTCTCTGTGATTGGACAAGTTTTGATAAATATTTATTGGTTGACGTGTGGCATGATTAAACGTCTGTCGTCGTCGCCTTATGGTGTATAGTTTTGACATCACCAAAACTGAGCTTATCCCCCGCATAAACAGTATAATTACTACATATACAACTTCTATAATGATTATTTTTCTGACAAACATGTCAGCATACTGTACACACTAAAAAGCAATAAATGAGATAAACAATATGGCTCATGCTTTCTATCAAACAACAAGGCACATTCTTGCACCAACAAGAAGTAAATTCTGTTGTAGTTATATGTTTGACACGTTTATTATATCATCTGATTTGTTATTAGTATAAATGTTCGGAAACCATGCAAACACACTTTTAGTCTATACTAATACTGGTCTGCGTGGCTACGAAATACCTAAAGTCGATAAACTCAAAGAATTCATGGTTTCTTTAGTCGAAAAAATAAAAAAAAATAAAATAAAAAACAACTTGTCGAAAACTTTACTGATTACTCGTGAGATGTAACAAAAAACAAAGGATAGAGAATTACCCCCGTTGCGTTCGATATACCCGACATACTACACATTAAGTACAGACAATATAATAGTATTATCAAAACGCTCCACGCAGTATACATTCGTTAGTTTTCTTCCTCCTTTTTATTTGCCTACTTTATTATCTTTCTTGACCAGTATATGACAACTGCGCCGCCGCCGCCGTGTAAAGCGACTGGTTTGATCGAACGTCAGTGACTGTACCAACCACGCTTGTAGGATTTTGATCGAAATCAGACATTGATTGACTTCCATGTTCTTGTTGGGCTGGTTGTGATTGGTCTTGTCTCACCAGCAAGTCAGACGTATGTGTGTCGAGTTGATCAGAATCTGAATGTGGAGATGGTGGGTATTGCGAAGGCGGGATGGACGAACTTGTTGAATTGTGTCCGGTTTGAGTTGGTGTTTCCGACATCCCTTGTATCTCGCGGCTGTTGCTCTTTTTCAATTTAATACGTGACAACCAGGCACTTACTCGATTTGGACATTCGTCCTTTTTCACGCCATCTAAATATCCTGTATCGACTATGTATTCTTGAATAAACACTTCCAATGCATCTAATCGGTTTTTCAATTCTGTCGTCTCTTCTGTTTGGGATGATGACTCTGACCCTGACTCTGGTAAATTTTTGGAGGATTGAAACGGAACGACTGGAAATTCTTTATCTAGCTTTGAACGTGTTGATCGAATAAAACAGCAGCAATAAGACTGGACACAACCCCATGGACTTATTACGTCTCCTCCTGATGTGGGGAAAAAACAATGTGAGCAAGAGCGTACGTACATATGAACAAGCAAGAAAAGAACATTACCTAATAGAAAGGCATACAGTCCCGCAATTATGCTCCATATACCACCAAGCAAACCAAATGCACCGAGAACCTGCGTGAACAGTAATCAAAATGACGTTGAGTTTGACATCAATTTTGTCTTATGTTTGCTCTTGCCAAATTCATTGTCAAATTTAATCTTACTGTGTTTGATCTTTAAATTATCCGAGTATGATATCGTCATTAGTCCTGTAATAACAATAGACCAAATCAATCTATGTCTTTCCTTACCTCTGCTCAATTTCAACCTTAACAACAAAAGTCTGAGGTTTAATCATCATTATTCCGTATCCAATAATACCATCA